TGTTCTTCATATGTTTTAGTCTCCAGTCCCCTAATCATCTTTGTTGCTATTCTCTGCACTCTTTCTAGAGTGTCTATATCTCTATGCCTTCTGGAATACCCTGTTTCCCCCTTGGGGTGTAGTAGTTTGTCCCCACCCTTCTATCCTTCTGCAAAGGCCTAAAGATCGGGCTCTGCCTGTTGGCCCGGGGACCCAATGGAGGAGCACATCACTGGAGGTTGTTGTTAGACTAAGTTGCTGACACACACACACACCCGCGCTTCTTGGTCCCTCTCCGCCAATCTTTTTAATTTCCTATTATTGTACTTCCATTGTTTATTTTTCTTGTTTTAATCCTTTGCTATTGTTATGCTTACATTTTTAATCCATCGCCAGCGTTCCAAATATCATCCAAATTAAATCAGAGTCCAAGGCAGAGTTTTTCTCAAACTTCCAATTTATTAAGAGAGACATGTTGGCACGTCTGTGGAAAACCCAAATCTGAAAGCTACCTGGGTTTTCCACCCAGTTGAAAGTTCATGAACCTGGCCCCACACCCACACGTCCATCACATGGTCCAATATTCCACTGCCACCCTGGCATTTCCACCCATCCAGTTCTGGTCAGGTACAGAGGTGTGGAGACAAAGAATGACCTTGGGTTTCTAGAATGGAATGTTTTATTTTGACAACAACACATCCTGCTCCTTACTATTCCCCCTCCCAATTCCCCACTAATGAAAGAGCGTAGTAAAATAAGAGAGAGAGTGTGGCAGGCCAAAGATCCTAAAAGGAATATGACTGCAGGCCTGTCAGTAACTTTTAATTGGACCAAATCAGCGCACTACAGACAGTAGTGGAATTCAAATAATTTAACAACGGTTCAGGGCAACAGTTTTTGAACCAAGGTTCCTAAAATTGAACCAAGGTTCCTCAAATGGACTAACATACAGAGTCCATCTGAAAGGTGATCAATCAAGCCAGCAGGCAGTCAGAAGTTGCTCTTGCTCCCAAATTTAAACTTGCAAGTTTAAGCTCTCTAGAAGAGCCTGAACAACTAATAGCCAAAGCAAATTGGTGGTAGACAAGAATTAACAGAAGTGAAGGTGGGCTGGACTTAGATCTCCTGTGGGCGGGAAGGAACTCAAGACTGATGATGTGTTTGACCCTGCTTTCGGCTCAGCCTGGTCATCTCCTGCAGGTTGTGTAGTATACATTTAATGTTGAACTTGTGGATTTGATGATAATGATGGTGTGTGTGTGTATGTGTGTGTGTGTATGTTTGTACACACACACCAGAGGTGGGTTCCTACCAGTTCACACCTATTCGGTAGAACCGGTTCGTCAAATCTACCAAACCGGTTAGAAGAGGTTCCACCAGTGGACCCGGAAAGCAGGCCACACCTACAGAAGAGGCTCCAAAAATTTTTGAAACCCACCACTGGTCCTTGGATATGATTATTCTACACTATCATGCTCATATTTATAAAACTCAGTGCCTCTGTGAAAGGGAAGGATGACTACTGTGTTTGTGGTGCAATCAGAACATTGCGTGTGTTGAAGTTGTTTTAATGCAAACCAAAGATGCCTTTTAAAAAACAAGTTTACATCGTATTCTTATGCATGCCAGTGCTGTGTGTGAGGTAATTTAAGGTGGTTCTGACAAGTAGTCGGCATCTTCACATCCGGTCACATGGGCAGGAAGCCACTCCCATCCGGTCACATGGACAGCAAGCCACTCCCACAAAGGAGGCCACACCCACAGAGTAGGTTCGAACAATTTTTGAAACCCACCACTGACACACACATATACACAAACATACGGTAATTAGACACTTACCTGTTTGGGTTAAGCATTTGAAGCTATCTGAACAATTTAGAAATAAACAGAACCATGGGAGAAATAAATAGATTTAATATTGTAACTATTCTATTTTTAGACACTGGAAGCCATCTTGAATTTCAGATACTCAGGAGGCCAGGGACATACTGATGGATACTATAGGAACTTGTCCCTGGGACTTCATGTGGAAGTTGAGCCATCTGTGTTCTTCACACGTGTCAGTACCTTGCCTGCAACAAGGTAAGTTGTGTCTACTGAGAAAAGTATTTCTTCATTTAAGGTGAACAATGGTAAAATCAAACTCCTGTTAGGTTGTAGCTCTTCATACCACCTCATCAGCACAGTTGTGCCATGTGCAGTATTCCCTGCTATACATTGGGACGGTACTGGTGCAGTTCTGGTACATTTGGCCAAGGTACCACAAGCATTTGTGAAGAGGACAAGATGAAATCTAGTTTGGGATCAAATGAATGTATGTTTGCCACAGTAATTAATTGCAAGTAGAAGGAAAAAATATTTTTTAAGTAGCCTAGTAAGTGATCTCATTGTCTCCAGGGGGGTGACATTGAACTTAAGTGAGACTCCCACCTCACAGAAAAGAAAGTAAGAAAACCTAATCTGCTCTCAACATCATAGTTGTAGCAACTCTCCCCCTTTATAACTAAACTACTTGATAACCCGTCATTGTCCGGGTATTTATTTATAGGGGGAAAATGTCAGGACCAAACATAATTTATAATGTTGGATTTTCTCCGTTACCAGAGGGAGCCCCCTTGTGGAGTACTGTTAAGCCATTACCATGGCAACTCCACTGCACTGTACAGTAGAAGGCTTTTTATGGCAGTACCGTAGAGGCCATTTGAAGGCACAACAGGCTGTATCGTAACACAACACCCCCTCCCCCCGAGGGATATTAGGGGTGTCTTACCCCCACAGTATTTGTTTCCAGAGTCATATATGTGTACCACATTTGGTTGAAATTGTTGAGGTGTTCCAGAGTTATGCTGGAACACACACACACACACACACACACACACACACACACACACACAAAGATCTTATATATACTGTCTATGTATGTGTGTGTGTGTGTGTGTGTGTATGTGTATGGAAAAAATGTTTTCTTTTAGATAACCACAGTCTCATTTAATGATGAAACTGTGCGATAATGCAAGGACTCTGTATTTTGTAGGTTGCATATGGGTTGTATGAAAGCATACAGTATGTTTGATAACAATTATTGCTACCTTATGATTGATGGGATCTTTATTTTAATTTTCCACATAGTACTCGCCAATGCCATTTGCTCCTTGATGTATTCAATTACACGGAACACGAACTCATGATCAGCGCAAAGAACAATGAAGATTTAGTGTTGCATGCTGGAGAATGTCAGCGGTAAGTTTAGACACTCTTTCTTTCACTGGGTTCTCCTCTTTTTCAAGGTGCATCAGTTTATAATTTGTCCAGCCTTATACTGAAGTAGGTATTTCAATTTGAAAAAATTATTTTGCTGAATTGATTTTTGTATCAATAAGATTTTTGCATTTCCCCCCTGTATGACAATATATGGAGGGTGACTGAGAGAAAATTCTGTGTGTGTGTGTGTGTGTGTGTGTATGTATATATTCAATATATACAATATATACTACACACACACACACACAAATGTATATATATGTGTGTGTGTTTGTGTGTATATATTCAATATATACAATATACTAGCTGGAATCCCGTGCTCCACTACGAAATTATGTGATCAGGCTTGATAAGTTGACACTTTCAGCTTGAAAATTAATGAGTAGTTAGGATGGGCCTCTCCTCTCTCCAGAAACAGAGTTCTTTTCAGGTGGGCAGGGGAAGTAGAATGAACTCCTTAGCATCAGAACGTGTTAATATAAGGCAACTGGCAGTTGGAACAGAGTTCTTTTCAGATGGGGAGAGGGAGTAGAATGTCTAACTCCTTAGCCTCAGAGCGTGTTAATATAGTATAAGGCAACTGGCAGTTGGAACAGAGTTCTTTTCAGGTGGGGAGGGGGAATAGAACTCCTTAGCATCAGAGCATGTTAATAATAATATAAGATATAATAATGATCTGATGATCATTTCAAAAAAATCCTTTCTTAGCAAGCACCTAGAAGCCAAGAAGAACCTAGGTGCCAAATTTTAAGTTTGTAGGCTTTATGGTTCTGGAGATTTCGTGATGATGCATGAGTGGTATTTTGCTTTTATACAGATAGATTTTATTATAAGGATATAGTAACAGAATATAGTCAAAGCTGTGGTTTTTCAGATAGATAGACAATGAAAAACAGTTTGGTCTAATGAAAAATGGTTAAAGCACCAGACTTGAAAACAGGAAACTGTAAGTTCAAGTCTTGCCTTAGCTATAAAAGCCAGTGGGGTGACCTTGGGCCAATCAGCCTCTCTCTCTTAGCCCATCCTACCTGACGGGGCTGTTGTTGTGGGGGAAATCGGAGGAGGAAGGGATGTTGGCTATGTTTGCATCCTTGAGTTATTTGTAAAACAATATGAGTGAGATACAAATAAACACATACATGTGATGTGATATTGCAGTTAACTAAGCAATACAGCTGAGCTTAACAGAGTTATGTTGTAGCAATAGCACTTAAGACTTAAATACCGATTCACGGTGCTTTACAGCACATTCTGGGCAGTTTACAATGTCAGCATATTGCCCCAACAATCTAGGTCCTCATTTTACTGACCTCATTTTACTGAAGTCTGAGTCAGCCTTGAGCCCGTCAGAATCAAACTCCTGGCAATGGGCTGAGTCAGCTTGCAATACTGCATTCTAACCATTGTGTCGTCACAGCTCATGATATCGTAGAGTTCTCCCTACAAGAAACAAATGTCATTTTAGGATAGTTTGGATTATCTGATAACAATGACAATGATAAAAATTCATATTCAACAACCATTTTAGTGAGTTATTTTCCTTTTTAAAAGCCAGTGATTTAATTCCAGTTTGGTGGCAACCTGATAGACTCGCTTCTTCCCTTTCTCACAATAAAAAGAGTATTTTTACTGCAAAGGCAGGTGAGCAATAAAAAAGAAGAGCTGGACAGGAAGAAGATAGGCCAAGTATATAATTAAAGGTGATTAAAAGTAGGAAAAGAGGTGAAGCATATCATTAAATGCCGGTCTTTTGTTTGCTTTTTAAAATAGTTTCTTTGGCAACCAAAGAATGTGCTGGTTATAGAAAATTGAGGCTGATCTGTATAATCAGCCTCTGGACGTCAAAGAAAGCAAAAAGTTGTTATTTTATTATTGTTTTCTTGAGGAAACCTGCAATTTCTAAATTTCCAAGTGCCTCATTCTCCCTTTCGCATTAATGGAGATTTTCTTTTCAGTTGTCTCAAAATTGAAATGCTTGTCAGCCAGCAGAAGATGTCGGGTATTCATTTATTATCATTTATGGCTGTAACATCAACCCTTTTGGCATTAATAGAGCCACAAACTGCCTCTCGAAATATTAGCTGAAGCTTGCGAAGTGTTGTCCTGACTATGGAAAACAGTGGCAGCTCTTCCAATTTACCTCCCATGTGCATTCCCAGAAAATAACGATAGCAATAGCAGTTAGACTTATATACCGCTTCCTAGGGCTTTCAGCCCTCTCTAAGCGGTTTACAGAGTCAGCATATCGCCCCCACATTTTACCCACCTCGGAAGAATGGAAGGCTGAGTCAACCTTTGAGCCGGTGAGATTTGAACCGCTGAACTGCAGCTTAGCAGTCAGCTGAAGTGGCTGCAGTACTGCACTCTAACCACTGCGCCACCTCGGCTCTTCAAATATCAAAATAATGAACTCACCTAAACCATGAGCCAGACAAGAACTAAGAAACTGATGCATGTAAACGTTTGAAAACGTTGGCATTGACTGTTTTCCTAGAGTACAAATAAAGGTAGTCCTCCACTTAACAATCACAATTGAGCCCAAAATTCCTGTTGTTAATCAAGACAGTTCTGTGGATTTTGCCCCACTTTATGCCTTTTCTTGCCGTAGATGTTAAGTGAATCACTAGAGTTGTTAACTACCATGCTTTCCCGAAAATAAGACCCAACTGGAAAATAAACCCTAGCATGATTTTTCCAGATGTTTGTAATATAAGCCCGAGCCTAAAAATAAGCCCCAGTTAAGATCAACAGCCAGACAGATGCATTTAGTATCATATTTCCCTGAAAATAAGACCTAACCGGAAAATAAGCTCTGATGCATCTTTTGGAGCAAAAATTAATATAAGACCTGGTCTTATTTTGGGGGAAATATGGTAGTAACACAACTGTTAAATGAATCTGGCTTTCCCATTGACTTTGCTTGTCAGAAGGTCGCAAAAGGGGATCACATGACCCCAGGACAGTGCAAGAGTGGTGGGTTTCAAAAATTTTCACTACCGGTTTGGTGGGCGTGGCTTGGAGGAGCCATGTGACTGAGTGGGCGTGACTAAGTTGACATCACTCACACCCACGCCCACTCAGTCACATGACCAGCCTCCCCACCAAGCCACAGGGTGGGGGGCTGCAGCCCGGCAAGCTTCGCAGCCATGTGGCACCGGCACTGGTTCGGGGGCGTGGCCAGCCTGCTGTCCTTACCTGTTCGGCACCCCAGGCCCAATTTCCACTACCGGCTCGTCTGAACCGGTGTGAACCGGTAGGAACCCACCTCTGCAGTGCAACTGTCATAAATATGAGCCAATTTCCAAGCATACAAATTTTTATCAGGTGACCATGGGGATGCTGCAATGGTCATAAGTGTGAAAAACGATATCATTTTTTTCAGTGCTGTTGTAACTTCGAACAGTCAGTAAATGAATGATTGTAAGTCAAAGACTACTTGCACTTTTAAAAAAATACAGTACAGAGGATTGTAATTGAAAAGTACCTTGGTTGAATTTCGAAAATGGAACTTTATTCTCTCGTCATATTTGATAGCAAATATGACGAGACAATTTTCAGAGACAATTTAAAATTTCTCTAATTATAAATATATTTCTCCCTCCCTCTCTCCCTCCCTCCCCCCCCCCTCTCTCTCACATACACATACACAATATTTTTGGGAGGAATGGATATAAGCCAGAGGATAAGGGCTCCTGAAAGGTAGTGTTTGTGTATCGGGCTGCTACTCCTAGCAATTACTACATCTGGGATTGCTTATTCCTGTATCTGTTGTATGTGCACATGTGACACACTGGCTACAGACCAACTCAAGATACAGCTGGAAATAGAAAATTTTCTCCTCTTCAACTTAAAGGCCTAATGTCATTCTTTTTGGGATAATCCAGTGTGATTGTTATAAAGATGTTAAACAGTCATTCCTAGCTCCTTTACTCTATGCTGCTTCTTGGAATAGAACAAAAGTATCACATTCTTTAAATAGTGGCAGCTAACAACAGCATCCAATTTCTTCTGTGACACAAATACTGCATTTCTCATTAATGTGACTTGAAATTGCCCTTAGTTGCTATAGTAACTCTATCAGTTTTATACATAGCATTTATTCTGAGAAAGGTTATTGTGGCAAATGCTACTAATTGGGAAGCTTTCCCATGGAAGCTACTATTTTTAAGCTATGTTAATATTCCACCTGTTAAAAATAGCAAAAAACGATAGATCAGCAGTAAATGGTAAATCTTAACTAATGCTGTTGGTTTTCTGATTAACGAGTGCTAGAGAGTTGATTTTTATAGCTGATTACCATACCCAATTGAGGGACTCTGTATCTGAAATCACATGTGATATCACTAATAGGTCCCTTCCCTTCCCTATCCCCAGGGAGGTTCCCCTGCTTGAGCAGAGGTTTGGACTAGAAGAGCGGTCACCAGCTGGTGGTCCATGAGAAAATTTTGGTGGTCCAGCAGAAAAATTATTTCCATTTTTTATATTGCACTAAATCAGGGGTCTTCAAACTACGGCCCACCTTCTCCACCTTCTGGGTCTTATTGTGCGGGTCAGAAGGGGGCAGAAAATACAACGGGGTCTATTTCAGCCTCCTGGTGCGAGGCTTTGGGTGAAGGCTGGAGGGAAGTGCCACTGATGGAGAAGAACTGGAGGGCCTTGTTCCAGTGGGACTGCATCATGGCCTGGAACTGGCTGACCATCATCCCGCTGAGCCTCCAGGTGCCAATACCTGGCCTTGCATTCCCACAGGTCTTCCCTCTGCTTGGAAAGCCTATGCTTGTAGTCCTCAGTGAGGTGCTTCTGCTGAGCCTCCTTCTCGGTCAGATCCAATTTGCACNTGCTTGTAGTCCCCAATGAGGTGCTTCTGCTGAGCCTCCTTCTCGGTCAGATCCAATTTGCACTGAGCTGTTTTGCCAACTCTTTCTCCTGGTTGCTGCTTAGCTCCAGCAACGGCTTCCTGTTGGGGTCCTAAGGAGCCCGGGC